TCTAGAGCAGCGCAAGGTGGATCAGAAAGCAGTGGACTCACATAAATTAGTGTTCTAAATTTCTTTCCAAGAACCTAATTAAATAACTAATACATTAAAAGGGGGGGGGGTCATGGTGGAGAAAAGCTACTCGTCTTCTGACATCCAGGAAGCAGAGAACAGGGAAAGAGCTAGTGACAGGTTCCAGGGACCAGAGTCCACAAGGCCATGGGCCCACAGCTTCCTCCATCTCTACCTCTTCATAGCCCTTTCATCGATTAACTCATCATTGCATTAACTCATCAAAAAGGTTGGTGTCCTTGCAATCCAATGACCCTTGCAGGTGTTTCTTACTCATCCAAGTTGACAATCAGGACTGACCAGCTCATCACCCTCTTTTCCTAGATAGCTGGGTATGGTGTTCAGAATTGCTATAATCATAATGTTGCCAGGTCAAAGGCAGGGTCCAGAGACTTGCAGAGAAACGGAACCAGAATCCTGATGTAGAGACATTCTGCCTCTGGACATTTTGTTATGCAAGATAATGTTTCCTTATTATTTAAGCCAAGTAGAATTGTGATTTCCTGTTTTCTCCAACTGAAGTCATCTTAACTGATGTGGTAGATTGCCAACTGGTGGCCACTTGTAACAGCCAGCTGAACTGAACCAGCATGGTGCTGGGACTGTTGCCAGCAGCATAAGACAGAACTGGAGAAGAACAAGGGAAGCTGTAATGAAGGTTCCTTCCTCTGGTATGAAAGAGAAGCAGGTAAAAGTAAAGAAATTCTTTATTGATTGGCACAGGAGGGCTGCAGGGAGAAGCAGGAGGAGACAGCCTGGAGCTTTTATTGGATTGGACTAGAGGTGGAATTTATGTGGGCAGTATGGTGTGGTAACAGGCGCTGACTGGGGGAGGCTTAGTGTACCCAAAAACCTAAAGAGGAAGTTCACAGTTAACCCAAGGAAAGAAGAAGTCAGTCTAGGAACAGGTTGTTGTTGCTGGTTTTGCGATCCCTGCTGTGCTGACTCACCACAGTGATGACCGGACGGACTGCTACATGGGCACAGGCCCATCAGGAGGAAGCTGTTAGGAGCTGTTGGTTTTCTTGGACGAGCTTGTTGTGTTGGCTTTCCTTGTCGAAGGAGCTTGGATGTTGGTGTCCATGGGAATGGCTGCAGTTCTTTTGAGGGAACTCTGGTCCTCATTTTGAGCATTGCTTCCTGACTTTGGAGGGGAAGATGGTACACTGTTCAGTCTCCTGGAGAAGCTGGTCACGTTGGCTTTCCTGATGGGAACTCAGCTGTCCTCATTGGTAGAGAAGCTCAGGACCTCACTTACTGAAGATGGGCTGTGAGACTTTTCTTTACTTTGAGTGTCGCTTCCCAGCTGTAGTCCAGATCCCTAGCCTACCAGCACAGAGCCTTCATCCTGCCAGCACAGACTTCCTTGCTTCCACCACTGACCTTTGAGCCTGCATGAGGCATTGTTGTGTATATGATTCTTTGGGTGACTAGTGTAAAATAATTCTATAAACTAGGTGTCTTGTATTAAATTATGACCCCTTGCAAAAACCCAAACCATGACAACTGATGAAAGAAAGAAAACCAACAAGTTGAAAATAAAAGTGATGCATAAGTATAAACATATAAATTTTAAACTTTAGAACAAACACAGTATACCACCACTTATTAATAACAGTTTAGAACTTCCCAGGAAAG